GCAGGAATTGAAGCCATTTCTTGATGGGTGTGAGGGTTCTAACTTCCTTCTGTTAACTAGGATCTCAAGACTCTCAGTCTGGAATCAGAAGGCTACCTCATCCTTGGGCATGGAAAGGGCCCTAGGAAGGGATGCTAAGGACTTGGGATGAATGCCGCCAGGGGCCCTCCCGCAAGTCCCTGGCCTTCCTTGTCTCCGTGACTTTGCACACAAGACATCAACTGTGTCCCCACTGTGGGCAAGATGGGTGGCCATCTGTTGCAGAGGATCGAGCATCCTGTGATTCACCAAGGATGGTGCACCATGACCATGTGACCGGACTCTCCCAAGACTACAGGAGACCAACATCAACGCTGCTCTGTTCAGGCAGCCTGCACCTGCTCTCACAGGACAGTGCCTTGCTCTAACCAGCCCAAAGCAAGACACTGAGGGACACGAGGCAGGAAGAGTCACGTTGTCAGCAGAAAGACCCTCCCTGGTGACCTCATTGTGGCCTTGCTACTTTGCATGGTGATCAGCCATAGCTCTTGTGTCTTCCTTCCAATTATCCGTTTATCTTGTGGACACCCTCAGAGTACGGGAAACATCAACCTGGGCCTACTTTCAACATTGAGAGTTACACGACATGTCACCTATTCATGTTCACAGTCTCTCGGTGACTTTCAAGAACTAGTGTAATGGACAGACCAAGGAAGGGTCACAGTGTAGAGTAGAACACATTGGGAGAGACAGACAGGAGAGAGAGAGAGAGAGAGAGAGAGAGAGAGAGAGAGAGGAGAGGTGAAGTGTGTGTGTGTGTTGTGTATTTTGTGTGTGTGTTGTGTGTTTTGTGGTGGAAGGTACTCCTGACAGGCTGGTGGGGAAGAACTGATTTCCGGTTTCTCTAGAGTGCTTCACAAAAAACATCCATCAAACTCAGCCAGGCTTCCAGAAAGTGAAAGAGCATAGAAACAGCAGTATGTGGAGCTAAACACCAGTATGAGGAGCCAAACGCTACCATTTGGAAGTCATTTAGACAGCAGACTAAAAGTTTCAAAATACAATGAGAGTAGAAATGCATGTAGCATAGAGAGAAAAAAAACCAACCTTGAAAAGCATAGATTTCCGGTAAAAGCAACAGTTGGTGAAAGCATAATAATCCTTGGAGTGGGAGAACCTTGCCTTTAGTTCCAGAGGCTCAGAGGATCTAACAAGTCCCAGAGAAGGGGCACCACAGTGAAGCACTCTGAAGCAGAACAAGAGGATTTCCGACAGGAAATGCCATTGCCATGAGTGTGGGGTTGAAGCAAAGAAAGACAGGATTGCCATCCTCCTGGTTGAAGTCGCACTTGGTGCCCTTCAGCAGAGTTCCCCCGCGCAGGGGTCAAGCCTCTACATCTGTCCTCTCTGAGCAGCACTTGCTGTCTGGGGCCAGCCGTTCTGGTCTGTCCAGCTTCTCCTTCCTTTTTCCAATTCCTGCCCTCCCAAGGCCAACTAGAAGGCTACTGCAACCAACACACACCACTCTGAGATTCAGACCAGAGGAAAACATACCAAAGTATAGCTCTCTGGATTTGGTGCGCCCACATTCTCCCTGCAATGGGTCCTCTGTCCAATCAAGTCTGTCTAGACCTAGGTTCCAGGCGGCGGTCGGTCGAATCGGCCGGCAGAGCGCAGGCAGAACCAGGTCGGCCTTCTGGCTCTTTCCTGGGTGGCGCATGCTCTCAGGGAAAGGACTCAGTCAGAGTGAGCCCTGGCCCCAGTGCAGTCAATCAGCTCCCTGAGCCTGCTGAGAAGAAGTGCCCTATTAAAGTGGCAAAATCATCTGGCTCAATGGGTCTGAATCCTTGCTTCACGCGCGCGCCCTCTGCCGGCCAGCTCCAGAATATTACGTTTCGACGTGGTGCCTGTGCTTCTGCTTTTGATGGGGGTGATGCTGGGCTGCAGCACAGCTTGCTAACTTGACTGGGGTGCATCTTGGAGAATCGATTCGCAGCGCGATAACTTAACTCTACAGTCGCTACGAGAGATAAAATTCAAGCCGGGTCTCTCGTGCCTGCAAGACAGAACCAGAGCAAGAGGATTTCCCGACAGGAAATGCCATTGCCATGAGTGTGGGGTTGAAGCAAAGACAGGATGGCCATCCTCCTGGTTGAAGTCCCACTTAATGCTGTTGGTTGAGCACGGCCACCGCGCAGGGGGGTCAAGCCTCGACACATGTCCTCTCTGGGCTCCTCTTCCTCTCTGTGGCCAGCAGCTCTGGTCTTTCCAGCTTCTACTTCCCCATTTCCCATTCCAGCCCGCCCAAGGCGAGCTAGAAGGCTACCGCGCCCCCCACACACCATCAGAGTTGGATAGAGGAAAACATGCTAAAGTATAACTCTCTGGATTTGGAGCCCCCACATTCTCCCTGCCATGGATCCTCTGTCCAATCAAGTCTGTCTAGACTTAGGTTCCAGGCAGCAGTCGACCAAATCGGCAGAGCACAGGCAGAACCAGGCCGGCAATAAGGCTCCTTCCTGGGTGGAGTGCACTCTCAGCAAAAGGCCTCAGAGTGAGCCCAGACCCTAGTATAGCCAACCAGCTCCCTGAGCCTGCTCAGAAGAGCACTGCTTTTTTATTTATTTTTTTATTGCTTTATAAAGAAGACCATTTCAAATGCCCACTTTCTCATTTCCCTCCCGATGAGTCACTTTCCCTCGCCTCCTCCCCCTGCAGTCCTAAGGGAGCGCACTGGAATTTTTCTCTACTACATTGTGACTTGCTTCTGGGACAATTAGTAGATTTTGGGGGTATTACTAAGGAGCTATTTTGAAACTCTGAAACTTACTACTCCGTTAAGGAGGTATTATTACTAGTTTATCCTTCGGTAGCGAGAGTATTTTAAAAAGCACAACATTTTGGTCCAAGTTCACTCACTATTAAAGCAGCAGCAAATCTCCTGGCTCAATGAGTCTAAAGCCTTGCTTTAAGTGTGAGCTCTCTTTGGACATCTCTGTAATCGTTACATTTTAGGATGGTGCCTGTGCTTCTGCTCTTGATGAGCATAAACCTGGGCTGCAGCACAGCTTGCTCACTTGACTGGAGTGCATTTTGGAGAATCAATTCCCAGCGCACTGACACTCTACAGTTATTAAACGAGATGAAAATCATGCCGGTCCTCTCCTGCCTACAAGACAGAACCGATTTCAGATGCCCCTGGAAGAAAGGCCATATAACCAAAGGAAAGCAGAGAGAAGAAGCCACCTGTTGCTACTCTGAGATGCTCAGGCAGGTTCTCCAGCTCTTCAGGCCACAGGCTACAAGAGATGCCTGGCCAGAGAGGACTCTCGGGCGGCTTCTCACCAGCCTGTTGAGTGGCCTGGAGGCTCTGGAGGGGACAGCGGAGCAAACACCTCCCTGTCTGACCACTTTGGCCATGGCCATCCGCACCTACTTCTTAGGAATCTCACGCTATCTGGAGAAAAAGGGATACAGCCCTTGCTCCTGGGAGATTGTCAGAGCAGAAATGCAAGTGGCCCTTTCCACATTCCCGGTGCCTGCAGAGAGAACCTCCAGGAAGAGAAGAAGCTCCATGCAGGAATCCCCTCTGAGGTGACAGCATGTTCAGGGCCTCAGGTCAGAGCACACACTACACCAGATGCAAGAAGACTTAATCGAAAGAGTTGGTGACATCATACACCGTTTGAAAAGGGTCTCGTACATCATGCTCTTAGAGTAAAAGAATGGAAGGGTGTGTGTGCCGTATCCTATCTGACCACTAATAAACTGATGATTCCAAACTGTCTGGACAGGTTTCAATTCCTGGGGGGACTTAGACAAGGGCCACGGGTGCGGTAAGAGGAACCATTGTGGGGAAAGTATTTTCCCAGGTGGCAGGAATTGAAGCCATTTCTTGATGGGTGTGAGGGTTCTAACTTCCTTCTGTTAACTAGGATCTCAAGACTCTCAGTCTGGAATCAGAAGGCTACCTCATCCTTGGGCATGGAAAGGGCCCTAGGAAGGGATGGCTAAGGACTTGGATGAATGCCGCCAGGGCCCTCCCGCAAGTCCCTGGCCTTCCTTGTCTCCGTGACTTTGCACACAAGACATCAACTGTGTCCCCACTGTGGGCAAGATGGGTGGCCATCTGTTGCAGAGGATCGAGCATCCTGTGATTCACCAAGGATGGTGCACCATGACCATGTGACCGGACTCTCCCAAGACTACAGGAGACCAACATCAACGCTGCTCTGTTCAGGCAGCCTGCACCTGCTCTCACAGGACAGTGCCTTGCTCTAACCAGCCCAAAGCAAGACACTGAGGGACACGAGGCAGGAAGAGTCACGTGTCAGCAGAAAGACCCTCCCTGGTGACCTCATTGTGGCCTTGCTACTTTGCATGGTGATCAGCCATAGCTCTTGTGTCTTCCCTTCCAATTATCCGTTTATCTTGTGGACACCCTCAGAGTACGGGAAACATCAACCTGGGCCTACTTTCAACATTGAGAGTTACACGACATGTCACCTATTCATGTTCACAGTCTCTCGGTGACTTTCAAGAACTAGTGTAATGGACAGACCAAGGAAGGGTCACAGTGTAGAGTAGAACACATTGGGAGAGACAGACAGGGAGAGAGAGAGAGAGAGAGAGAGAGAGAGAGAGAAAGAGGTGAAGTGTGTGTGTGTGTGTGTATTTTGTGTGTGTGTTGTGTGTTTGTGGTGGAAGGTACTCCTGACAGGCTGGTGGGGAAGAACTGATTTCCGGTTTCTCTAGAGTGCTTCACAAAAAACATCCATCAAACTCAGCAGGCTCCAGAAAGTGAAAGAGCATAGAAACAGCAGTATGTGGAGCTAAACACCAGTATGAGGAGCCAAACGCTACCATTTGGAAGTCATTTAGACAGCAGACTAAAAGTTTCAAAATACAATGAGAGTAGAAATGCATGTAGCATAGAGAGAAAAAAAACCAACCTTGAAAAGCATAGATTTCCGGTAAAAGCAACAGTTGGTGAAAGCATAATAATCCTTGGAGTGGGAGAACCTTGCCTTTAGTTCCAGAGGCTCAGAGGATCTAACAAGTCCCAGAGAAGGGGCACCACAGTGAAGCACTCTGAAGCAGAACAAGAGGATTTCCGACAGGAAATGCCATTGCCATGAGTGTGGGGTTGAAGCAAAGAAAGACAGGATTGCCATCCTCCTGGTTGAAGTCGCACTTGGTGCCCTTCAGCAGAGTTCCCCCGCGCAGGGGTCAAGCCTCTACATCTGTCCTCTCTGAGCAGCACTTGCTGTCTGGGGCCAGCCGTTCTGGTCTGTCCAGCTTCTCCTTCCTTTTTCCAATTCCTGCCCTCCCAAGGCCAACTAGAAGGCTACTGCAACCAACACACACCACTCTGAGATTCAGACCAGAGGAAAACATACCAAAGTATAGCTCTCTGGATTTGGTGCGCCCACATTCTCCCTGCAATGGGTCCTCTGTCCAATCAAGTCTGTCTAGACCTAGGTTCCAGGCGGCGGTCGGTCGAATCGGCCGGCAGAGCGCAGGCAGAACCAGGTCGGCCTTCTGGCTCTTTCCTGGGTGGCGCATGCTCTCAGGGAAAGGACTCAGTCAGAGTGAGCCCTGGCCCCAGTGCAGTCAATCAGCTCCCTGAGCCTGCTGAGAAGAAGTGCCCTATTAAAGTGGCAAAATCATCTGGCTCAATGGGTCTGAATCCTTGCTTCACGCGCGCGCCCTCTGCCGGCCAGCTCCAGAATATTACGTTTCGACGTGGTGCCTGTGCTTCTGCTTTTGATGGGGGTGATGCTGGGCTGCAGCACAGCTTGCTAACTTGACTGGGGTGCATCTTGGAGAATCGATTCGCAGCGCGATAACTTAACTCTACAGTCGCTACGAGAGATAAAATTCAAGCCGGGTCTCTCGTGCCTGCAAGACAGAACCAGAGCAAGAGGATTTCCCGACAGGAAATGCCATTGCCATGAGTGTGGGGTTGAAGCAAAGACAGGATGGCCATCCTCCTGGTTGAAGTCCCACTTAATGCTGTTGGTTGAGCACGGCCACCGCGCAGGGGGGTCAAGCCTCGACACATGTCCTCTCTGGGCTCCTCTTCCTCTCTGTGGCCAGCAGCTCTGGTCTTTCCAGCTTCTACTTCCCCATTTCCCATTCCAGCCCGCCCAAGGCGAGCTAGAAGGCTACCGCGCCCCCCACACACCATCAGAGTTGGATAGAGGAAAACATGCTAAAGTATAACTCTCTGGATTTGGAGCCCCCACATTCTCCCTGCCATGGATCCTCTGTCCAATCAAGTCTGTCTAGACTTAGGTTCCAGGCAGCAGTCGACCAAATCGGCAGAGCACAGGCAGAACCAGGCCGGCAATAAGGCTCCTTCCTGGGTGGAGTGCACTCTCAGCAAAAGGCCTCAGAGTGAGCCCAGACCCTAGTATAGCCAACCAGCTCCCTGAGCCTGCTCAGAAGAGCACTGCTTTTTTATTTATTTTTTTATTGCTTTATAAAGAAGACCATTTCAAATGCCCACTTTCTCATTTCCCTCCCGATGAGTCACTTTCCCTCGCCTCCTCCCCCTGCAGTCCTAAGGGAGCGCACTGGAATTTTTCTCTACTACATTGTGACTTGCTTCTGGGACAATTAGTAGATTTTGGGGGTATTACTAAGGAGCTATTTTGAAACTCTGAAACTTACTACTCCGTTAAGGAGGTATTATTACTAGTTTATCCTTCGGTAGCGAGAGTATTTTAAAAAGCACAACATTTTGGTCCAAGTTCACTCACTATTAAAGCAGCAGCAAATCTCCTGGCTCAATGAGTCTAAAGCCTTGCTTTAAGTGTGAGCTCTCTTTGGACATCTCTGTAATCGTTACATTTTAGGATGGTGCCTGTGCTTCTGCTCTTGATGAGCATAAACCTGGGCTGCAGCACAGCTTGCTCACTTGACTGGAGTGCATTTTGGAGAATCAATTCCCAGCGCACTGACACTCTACAGTTATTAAACGAGATGAAAATCATGCCGGTCCTCTCCTGCCTACAAGACAGAACCGATTTCAGATGCCCCTGGAAGAAAGGCCATATAACCAAAGGAAAGCAGAGAGAAGAAGCCACCTGTTGCTACTCTGAGATGCTCAGGCAGGTTCTCCAGCTCTTCAGGCCACAGGCTACAAGAGATGCCTGGCCAGAGAGGACTCTCGGGCGGCTTCTCACCAGCCTGTTGAGTGGCCTGGAGGCTCTGGAGGGGACAGCGGAGCAAACACCTCCCTGTCTGACCACTTTGGCCATGGCCATCCGCACCTACTTCTTAGGAATCTCACGCTATCTGGAGAAAAAGGGATACAGCCCTTGCTCCTGGGAGATTGTCAGAGCAGAAATGCAAGTGGCCCTTTCCACATTCCCGGTGCCTGCAGAGAGAACCTCCAGGAAGAGAAGAAGCTCCATGCAGGAATCCCCTCTGAGGTGACAGCATGTTCAGGGCCTCAGGTCAGAGCACACACTACACCAGATGCAAGAAGACTTAATCGAAAGAGTTGGTGACATCATACACCGTTTGAAAAGGGTCTCGTACATCATGCTCTTAGAGTAAAAGAATGGAAGGGTGTGTGTGCCGTATCCTATCTGACCACTAATAAACTGATGATTCCAAACTGTCTGGACAGGTTTCAATTCCTGGGGGGACTTAGACAAGGGCCACGGGTGCGGTAAGAGGAACCATTGTGGGGAAAGTATTTTCCCAGGTGGCAGGAATTGAAGCCATTTCTTGATGGGTGTGAGGGTTCTAACTTCCTTCTGTTAACTAGGATCTCAAGACTCTCAGTCTGGAATCAGAAGGCTACCTCATCCTTGGGCATGGAAAGGGCCCTAGGAAGGGATGGCTAAGGACTTGGATGAATGCCGCCAGGGCCCTCCCGCAAGTCCCTGGCCTTCCTTGTCTCCGTGACTTTGCACACAAGACATCAACTGTGTCCCCACTGTGGGCAAGATGGGTGGCCATCTGTTGCAGAGGATCGAGCATCCTGTGATTCACCAAGGATGGTGCACCATGACCATGTGACCGGACTCTCCCAAGACTACAGGAGACCAACATCAACGCTGCTCTGTTCAGGCAGCCTGCACCTGCTCTCACAGGACAGTGCCTTGCTCTAACCAGCCCAAAGCAAGACACTGAGGGACACGAGGCAGGAAGAGTCACGTGTCAGCAGAAAGACCCTCCCTGGTGACCTCATTGTGGCCTTGCTACTTTGCATGGTGATCAGCCATAGCTCTTGTGTCTTCCCTTCCAATTATCCGTTTATCTTGTGGACACCCTCAGAGTACGGGAAACATCAACCTGGGCCTACTTTCAACATTGAGAGTTACACGACATGTCACCTATTCATGTTCACAGTCTCTCGGTGACTTTCAAGAACTAGTGTAATGGACAGACCAAGGAAGGGTCACAGTGTAGAGTAGAACACATTGGGAGAGACAGACAGGGAGAGAGAGAGAGAGAGAGAGAGAGAGAGAGAGGTGAAGTGTGTGTGTGTGTGTGTATTTTGTGTGTGTGTTGTGTGTTTGTGGTGGAAGGTACTCCTGACAGGCTGGTGGGGAAGAACTGATTTCCGGTTTCTCTAGAGTGCTTCACAAAAAACATCCATCAAACTCAGCAGGCTCCAGAAAGTGAAAGAGCATAGAAACAGCAGTATGTGGAGCTAAACACCAGTATG